CGCAATGAACACCGTGAACAATATGACAAATGTGAGTTATAATGCATTTCTATTACTTTGAGAATAGCCTGTTCCAAGCTCTCCGTCAGTGGGGACGATCAAAAAAGCAGGCAGGCAACGAGCCGGATCAGTGATGAGCAGGATCAGGAGAGAAAAGGAGAAGGCAGACCCCACTTGTCGCTTGCCCACTTTTTCGATTGGCCCCACTGTCTGAGAGCCTGCCAGAACAAGCTACTTTGAAATGGACGGATTATTTTTAACTTATAGCACAATGAAATCGGTATCAAACAAACACCCACTATATGTAACACTTACTATTTTTCTTTTCTTAAATTTAAGTAGCTTTGACTACATGGTGTTTACACTCTTTGTTTTGTAAGTATATTAATTTTCCGGCTGAGGCTGAATATACATATTTTTTACCGATTTTAGTTAGAAAATAATATTGTGAGAATTGTTAGATTATATAGCGTATGACATTTTCGTTTTATTGACTTTAATGACATTGAAGTAATTTTGGAGCCAGACTCCAGGCAATACAGCCTGATATGATGCACACAGTGTTATTACAATCGAACAGACGGCTANTGAAGTAATTTTGGAGCCAGACTCCAGGCAATACAGCCTGATATGATGCACACAGTGTTATTACAATCGAACAGATGGCTAACACTGTTTTTGTTGTTTTTTTGACTCTAGTTTTGTCGTCTCAGAAAGAGAGAATTTTATACGGTTTAGTTAAAGCAACATATATTTGTATTGTATTTACAAATTTCAACACAAATTCATTTTCTTTTCATATATATATGCATGGCTAACATAATTTTCTTACTTAGGTATGCAATGCTGATAGACAAGATAGTACTTCCGCTGAATTACGACTGATAAGAACTATTCTAGAGTGGCTGGAGTGCACATTTGCAAGGCAAGAAGCGAAACTGGGTAAGCTGTTGGAGCATACTAACTCGCAGTTCAACCAGCAACCCCCACCACTTATGTTCTCTACCCCTGATGTGGCTGCAAAACAGTTCAGTCAGTCTGCAGAGTACTTGCCATTTAAGTCAACCAACACCAGCAGACCATCCCCACCAGAACCTCCGTCTGTAGATCCGGACTGGATATTGGATGATGTCTTCCAACAGTCAAATCTTGAGTTGGCAGGTATGACATTTTGCATGATGTAAA